CTATTTATAATAGTGATAATAGCAGCTAAATTAAGGAAACTTTATTGTACTGTTTTCCAGGTGCTACTCTAGGCATATGATATATATTAATTCATTTAATGCCCAGGATCATGAGTAGGGAGAAGAGAGAGACAATCACAGAGCTTTAAGGCTTGCACTGGCTCAAGTATACAACCTCTTGAAGTTAGAGTCCTCACATTGGCAGGTAAGAATGTGAGAAAAGAGAAAGGAGAAAGATAAGCAATAGTCTGCTCCCCAAAGAGTCAGTTTGGGACAATTTTTCAATAGCATTATTGAAGAGTGATTTCTGGGTTTCTAATTATTTCCTCCTTGGCATTTGCCTTCATTAGCAAGTACTGTAAGTAGGAGAACAAGGTGACTGCAAGATCAGGGGTGTGTGAGTGTGTGTGTGCATGTGTATTGTTTGTATATTCTATATTCTTCTGCTCTCTAGCCCCCTTGTCAGTTAAATAAGTCTTTGGGCAAGTTTTTAACTTCTTTACATTTCATCTAGGCATTTGAAAAATAGAGACAATGGTGAGGATGATGATGATGATATAGTAAATTGCATTTTAATGGCCACTCAATAGGCATGCCCCTTTTTGCAATGTGATCTTGCAGCTCTTCTCCTGAATCTGGCCTGGCCTGTGGCCTGGCCTGTGGTTTGTATTGACCAATAGCATGTGATAGAAGTGATATTGTATGATTCAGAGGCTAGTGCTCAAAAGCCTAGTAGCGTCTACCTTTGCCCTCTTTACACTAAGCCATCATGGAAAGGAAACTTGTAATGCTACTGGAGGATGACAGGCCATGTGGAAGAGAACCTAGATGGCCAGCCTCCAGCCAATGCTAGGAGTCATGCAAGCGAGGCTATTGTCAATCTTTTGCTCAATGTTTATAGCAGCACAATTCACAATAGCTAAACCATGGAGCCAACTTAGATGCCCTTCAGTGGATGAATGGATAAAAAAGTGGCATTTATACACAATGGAATTTTACTCAGCAATAAAAGAGAATAAAATCATGGCATTTGCATGGATGGTGTTGGAGAAGATAATGCTAAGTGAAGTTGGCCAATCCCCAAAAAACAAATGCCGAATGTTTTCTCTGATATAAGGAGGCTGACTCATAGTGGGGTAGGGATGGGGAGCATGGGAGGAATAGATGAATTCTAGATAGGGAAGAGGGGAGGGAGGGATAGGGAGGAGGCAGGGGATTAGCAAGGATGGTGGAATGTGATGAACATCATTATTCAAAGTACATGTGTGAAGACACAAATTAGGTGTCAATTTACTTTATATACAACCAGAGATATGAAAAATTGTGTTATATATGTGTAATAAGAATTATAATGCATTCCGCTGTTGTGTATTTAAAAAATAAAATCAATAAAAAACCAAAAAATGTTTTAGTAAAGGATTGCAATAACTGATATTATTTCTTAAATTCTCACCAAGTACAATCACTTGTGTTATCTCTCCCAGCCCTACAGCCATCAGAGGTGGAAGTTTCAGTTTACAGATGAGGAAATTGAAGTTTAGAGAATTTAAGTAACTTTTCCTGGTCACCTGGCTAGTAAGAGGTAGAATCAGGGCTTTGCCCTCAAAGTCTGAGTTCTCTGTGTGTGGACGCTGGTTCAGTTCTCAAGAAATGTTGGTTGGATGAGTGAGCTTTCTCCAAAGTCACCAAATGGAACACTCATCACTGCCTTCTTCCTCCTTTTCTCTTATTACTATCTTGTGTGTGGAGGTGGCAGGGAGAGGATGTAGGGTGATTAGGAGACCACATGGGGAAGACATAAGGAACAGAGGGAGAATGGATAATTAGCTTATGAAGGAAGCACCAAGTATATTTGATAATATAAATGCATTAAACACTAGATAAACACAAGCTTCAAAACAATTAGACAGGGCTGGGGTTTCGGCTCAGTGGTAGTGTGCTTGCCTAGCAGCATGAGGCTCTGGGTTTGATCCTCAGCACCACATAAAAAATAAACAAACAAAAGAAATTTTTTTTTAAAAAAAATTAGACAATAGGAAACATGGCTGCTCAAGACCATGACACATAGACATTGTCAGTAAATGAGCCCTTTGCTGCCTAAGTGGTCAAGAGGGGCCCCACCATACCACTTCATTCCACTCAGTTCCCAGCAATTGTTTTCATTCTTCCCATTCCATCTTACTCCATTCTTTTCGGTTCCATTCTATTCCTTCCATTTTGTTCTATTCCATTCCACTTCATTCCATTCCACTCCATCCCATCCTATCCCATCCCGTCCCATCCATTTCATTCCATTTCACTTCATTCCATTCTATGTCATGCCCCTCACACTCCACTCCATTCCATACTTTTCCTTTCTTTTCGAAAACATTTAGTAATTATTATGCAATTGTTTAGGTGCTAGAAATACAAAGCCAAGTAAATACAGTCTCTAACCTCCCAAGACTCATATTCAGATTTTTCCTGTCCTCACCCAATAATAGAACACCCCAACCCAGAGTTCAATGAGAACAAGTCAGTGCAAAATCCTCACAAACCAGGTGCTGTATGATAAAGAAAACAACACACAGAGATGTTCTTTTTACATAATTTTAAGCAATTAAGTATGATGCTTTTACTCCTCTTTTATACTTTTATAGGTGCCTAGAGTACTTTTTGAAATTGTTTTCAAAGGACAAGCATTTCCTACCCTAAGTGACTCATTTTAACTTTTCAAAGTACAACCAACTACAGCTGTGTATAATGACTGTTATATAGTAAATGCTCCTGCTAAGTTAGCAGGGATGCCTAGACTATGCTTTAAGAGTCCTGGGAAGTTGCAATTGTAGAAACTGTCTTTGGAAAGAGTATATATTTCTAACCCAGCTTCCCAGGACATTGTCAAGATTTTGCCTGAGCCTCCTCCCCATCCAAAAAACAAAACAAACAAACAAAACAAAAACAAAACAAAAAACCCAAAACAAACAAACAAAAAAACCTGAAAAAACAAAACAAACAAAAAACTGGAACATGAGATAACTGACTTTATATCCATTCTGGTACTCCATCAGGGAGCTCATATAAGCACTGCAATGGATTTCATTCTAGAAAAGGGCTTTTAAAAATCTCCGGTGCTTTTGCCATGATCCAAAGCTACAAATCCAGCTTGGGGGCTGAATCAGTTGAGCTCTGTAATACAGGGCTGGGTGGGCCCAAGGGGTGGTGTGCCTGCATTAGAGCTCTGTAGAAGGTGTTTCTGGACACATTCCAGCAGAGTCTGGCCAAGTCTCAAAACTCTCTCTGTGTTTCACAACGGTCAAACCTGGGCAAAAATGGGAAATAATCTCTTTGGGAAAAGACAACCTTTTAGTGTTCTAGCAGATGTATCTATGCTAGTTTTTAATCAATATGTTTCTTTTTTGATACATTTATTTTTTTTCTGTAGTGTTATGTATAATTAAGCTCAGATGTAAATGAATACTCTGTAAATTAATGGTAGTATGGAAGTTTTGATTGAAGCACATTCAGCCAAAATAAGGAGGTGTTCCACCAACAAGCATTCATTTTCAAAAGTAAGTGGTGAATCTCTCGCTTACATTAGTGGCTGAAAGGGAACAGGAGCTGGAGAATTAGGGAGAGCTCAGCGCCAGTTCATGATGGTAGCCTTAAGTCATAGCTCTCCTGCTCCCATTTCCTGTCTTCCTTTCCCACTTTCCAAGCCTAGACAGATCTGAACCCATAATTACCGATCTAGGATAGGTAGGTAAAAGTCTAGGTGGAAAGTGAGAGACTTTGGACATGTTACCCTTTCCTTACTTTAAGTCCAAACTGGGTAAAATGATGGAGTAGAGGCTAATCTTTAAGTCAAAATTAGAGTTTGGATTCCTGAAGTGGATATTTTTGTTAATGGATAAAGATTGAATGCTGGGTTGCAAAGCTGATGTAAAGAGTTTCCAAAAAGTTAAATGGGGCTTTCCTAACTTCTCTTCAGTGACAAAGAGAACTAGTTCACAGGGAAGATTTATGGTAATAAAATAAATAAATAAAAACAAAATCCCATGAGTTGTTCAAGGTACTGGCTATAGTTGTTTCGTGATCAATAACGAAGTATGTGCTCACTAACTGGGAATCACATGTATTATTAGATTCTACCCAATGCAAAAGAAACCACAGCACTAAGTAAATGTTATGCCATTTGAATAGTGTTGGGCTTTTTAATTTAATTTAATTGTTTGAATTATTTGAGTTGCTTACTAGGAAACAGCTGAACACTGCCAAGTGAAACCTGAACTTTTTTTTTTTTTTCCAGAGCTAGGAATAGAACACGGGTCCACACACATGCTAAGCATGTGCTCTACTACTGAGCTACACCCATGGCTCCAATACCTGATCTTTACTGATCTTTTAAAATTACACTGCCTAAATGGTGGCCCCAAACCCTGAGAGGAAACCAAAACCAAATTGATGAGTGCTGCCATCACTACTCCCAGTCACTTCACTCCTCTGTCACCTTACATGCTAAGAGACCATAAGTAGGCGATGCTCTAAAGTGTAGATGTGGAAATGGCGTTAGACTGTTGCTTATCTTTGTGTTCCCAAATCCATGAAAGTGATTTCTGAATCTGCTTTTGCTTTGTGACCCTTTTTTTCCCTTACAGCAGAAATGATGACGACGTGTGTGCAGGGTCACCTGCCAGCTACTGATTTCAACTCCTATTTCCTGGTTTCAAGTCATGTGGAAGACCACGAACCCTGATTTCGTTTAAAAAATGTAGCCAACCTATAGTAGGACAGTTATGTCATGGTGGCCTAATAATCTTCACCTCAAAAAGATATAGAAATTTCAATTCAATATCAAAGATTTTTCTCATTATGCAAAATGCATTGGTGTATCATTTGCAGTTAAGACACAGAGCACCTGGTCTGCCCCTGCAGTAGTGGCATCTTTAGCAAAGCGAGTCTTTTCAGGCCATGGGCTTTCTGAGACTGTTCACAACCACACCTCAACCCCCACCTTTTACCTCTTTAGTGGTGCTGGAGAAGGGCCAAGTAGTTGATGGTATCCACGACGTATCTGCAATTCCAGTTGCATGCAGATTGGGGTAAGGTTTCTTGCTGCTGTTGTGGCTGTGGTTTTCTGTAGTATTGATGATAAAGGCCTCTGTGGTGTTCCTAATAGGGTGCTCCGGGCTATATGGAACTGTATTAAAAGTAGTGGGGATCTGGGGAGGAGCCATGTTTCTAGTGCTCCTTACTGAAACTTCTGCTCCCAGGCCAGCTGAGGTAAAGAAAGGACAGTTACAAAAATTATTCTCATATCTATAAATATTTATAGATTCTTCACATAAAAACAATTTTACTTAGAAAAAGAAGACACCTTCAGTAATGGGCATGTAGATAAGTTGAGTTGTATGGAAAAAAAAAGCAAAGATCCTTTGGGTGGATGACAGTGTCCCAGCAATCACCTGTCACCTTCCATAAGTTTTATGATGAAGGGAGAGTTGTGAAAACTGTGCTATGGGGGAAAAAATGCCAGGTCCATGTAGAAGACAGAATAAATTTACCATGAACATCTCTATAGGATCGCTGGGTTGGTTTTCTGGGGGGTCCACTAATCTCCAAAACTCAATGCAAAATTCTGATTATATGACATGTGTATCCTTTCTTCTATGGGTGAATGTCATAATTTTCATCAACTTTTCAAAGGAAATGTTCAACAAGATACCAGGTTGAGAACACTGTTAATGATCTGCCTAACTTCATTGTGAAGTTTGAGGATTCCTTGGGGGAGTTATAACATTTCTTTCTTTTTAGTACAAACATTTTTAAATGTAATTTTTTGTTTTTAATTAATAAATTAATTTCTTTTTTTGGTACTGAAGATTGAACCCAGGGGTGCTTTGCCACTGAGCTACATTCCTAGTCCTTTTTTATTTGTTTGAGACAGGATCTTGCTAAGCTGGCCTCAAGCTTGCAATTCCCCTGCCTCAGCCTCCCAAGTTGCTGGGATTACAGGCATGCACCAACACATTCAGCATTTAATTTACTTTTTAACTGATACATACAAATATAAAAATTGCACATAATAGAGATGTTTTAATACATTCGAACGCTGTGTAATGTTTAAATCAGGTTAAACATATCTAGCTCCTCAAACATTTATCTTTTTTTATGGTGAAACCATGTAGAATCCAGTTTTCTGAAATGTACTGTACATTATTGTTATTTCTGATCACCCTACTGAACAATAAACAGCACACCAGAACTTCTTATTACTATCTATTACTTGGTACCTATTGTTGCAAACTGTTTTTAATTCTAATAGAGTGAGTCCCAAATCATGGAACTGTTGTATTTTCTAAGCTATCTACCTTCTGGAAGCATGGCAAATTGATTTAAAATATATGAGCTGATAGGGTTAATTTACAGCTTTGCTTTGCAAGGCTAAACCTCCCACATTAAAAAAATATATTATTTTCTGAATTAGTTTCACCTAGCCATGATTTAAAAATGGGCCCTCCATCTTTTGGGGATAGGCTAACATGCAATATCAGCATTTCTAACAATCTCTAAGGTGATGCTGATGATGTTAGTCTTTGGATGCCCTTTGTATGGCAAGACTTTAGAACACAATCCTACAATATGAATCCCTGGAAAATTCTATAAATTATGGGCTAAGGTGATATGTTTAGATGTTTCCTTTGATCCCATCAATGGTGAGTTTTCAGGAATATAAGAACCCACAAAATATTATCAAATTATGATAACCATAACTGAATAGTTTTGGCTTAAAGACTGGCAGGTAAAAGATTCTAGTTTTTACTATTCCTTTATTGGTTCATTCATATTTATAAAGCAACTACTATGTGCTAGGTGAAGGTCTTCTAAAGAAATAATTAATTATCACTTTAACATTTAACATTAATTAATGTTCTGTTCTCTTATTGATCACCTTTAAGCCTCATTTCTTTTCATCCCAGTTTCAATGGACTAATCTATTTCATATGATAAGGTATGTAAATAGGAGGATGACTACAAAAAGAGGATTCTCACAGCAAAGCTGCTTTTAACAATTTAATAAGATATAAATAGCCAGCATGGTGAGGCTCACCTGTGATCCCAGCCAATTGGAAGGCTGTGGCAGAAGGATTACAAGTTCAAGGCTAGCCTTAGCAACTTAGTAAGACCCTAAGAAATTTATTTTGAGACCCTCTCTCAAAATATAAAAAAAAGTGTGGGGATATACTTTAGTACTTAAGGCCTCCTAAAGGTTCAATCTCCAGTATATATATATATAAAAGAATACATACATTTATACACACACACACACACACACACACAAGCAATTCTCCTAAAAGATAATAAAATAATCATAGCTATTAAGCATGCTTCCTTTGAAATGCAGAGGGTTGAGCAAAGTGCCTTGTACAGAGGGTTGACAGATTTAGCTAATAAAAATAAGTGACACACAGTTAAATTAGAGTTTCAGATAAGCAATCAATAATTCTTTAGTATAACTCAGTGTGTTTAGTGTATTCCAAATAGACAATACTACAAAGATTACATGACATATTGTATATTTCAAATATACTAAAAATGATCACTTATCTGAAACTCAGATGTAACTGGGCATTGCATATATAATTCAGGTATATTAACTCTAGTTGCACATCTACTAGGTCTAGGCTATGAAAGACTTCTAGATGTTCATTTTAGTTTCTGTCTTTTTTCTTCTAAATCATGTACAACTATCACTGTCTTTTTGCCTGGATCAGTTGCTCTGGGCATAGACTGACAGATTGATCCTTGAGGTGTTTTCTACATGACATACTCAACCATATTATTAGTGAGGTTCCTTTACAACAAACTCCAAGAAGCAATCTTAATTTTGCAGTTAACTGAGTTAGGTGCTTGAATGTTCCCTTAAATAGACCTTTACCTATTGTGGGGATATAAAGCTTTATGTATATGAAGATCAGCATTTTGGTGATTTGAGCTTTGGCCAATGCTAATTCTCTGAGATGACTACTACCTATGACAATTTTAGCTCTTAGGTCCTTAAAAAAATTTTAATGATGGGGTTAGGACAAAAAAGAAATGGTTCCAAATACCAAGCCTGCAATTACATTCCTTCATATGGCAACCTATGCTTACTCTTCTTCACTAAGGAGTAGTTGGTAAGTTTTTGTCCTAAGAACTTTGTTTTTAACTAACTTACATAATTAATTCAGTGGGTGAAACTGGACTCTCTCAAAATTAGATAAATGATCAAAACAGTCTCACAGTTTCTACAAATAACACAGCTTATCTTACCACTGTGTGTAGCTTTTGGCTATCTTATGGGGAAAAATTCAGTCTCCTGTAATTGTCTTTAATTAACCTTCTCCATATATTTTTAAAACACCTCAAACCAAACATGTCCATTTTCCATTTTAGACTACCCCTCCTTTTATTTTTTTTCCAGAGAAAGAAACTACAAAATACTCAGGTCCAGTACCTCTTCATTTTGTGTCTGTGTTTTTAACTTACTTATGCTATTTAAAAAGCCAGAAATAAATCTTGGCCTTAACTTACTTTGTGAATTTTAAAGCCACTCTTTGCAAATGTTGGTAGGAATCAGACTCACCTCTGGTACCTGTTTGCCTTGGAACCCCCTCTAGAAATTGTGATTCAGTAAATTTGATGTGGGACCCAAAACCTGCCTTTCTAACAAGTTTCCTGGGTGATTCTAAGTGTATGGCTTTAGTCATAGTGGAATTATTAAAACTTCTTATCTGGGTATTGAATAATTGTATAAAATAGATGAAAGGAAAGAAAATCTGTTATAGGAATATACATAGCTATCAAAATAAGTTTATTTTTCTATCTTCTGAATTCTTCCTTGAAATAGATGTATGAATTTATACTAAAGATAGTAGATCTTTGGATACTTTAGTGTCTATAAATTCTTCTGATGTTCTTTAAAAGCGTATATATGTCTCACTGTTCAAGAAAGAGCAGTTTTGACAAATACAAGGAAAAGTCCTTACACAATGGAACAATATGTTAAAGCTATTTTTAAAGCTTTATTGTACCACTGCTACTACATTGTTTTCACATAAATAACAAAATTAGAACACAATTCAAGGCAAAGCGGACCATCCTGCTTCCAATCTAAAAAGTTTTAGCACGTAAATTGCAAATAGATCTCTGTGTAGTGTAATATCACCTATGAAATGATTTGCAACAGCTGCATCTTTCTAACACATTTTTATTTTATTTTTATATATTTTTATTTTTTGGTACTGGAGATTTAACCTAGGGGTATTTTACCCCTGAACCACATCCTCAGTATTTTTAATTTTTTAAATTAAAATTTTTTTTTTTTTAATAATTTTTATTTTTTAATTTTGGGCGGACACAACATCTTTGTGTGTATGTGGTGCTGAGGATCGAACCCGGGCCGCTCCCATACCAGGCGAGCGCGCTACCGCTTGAGGCACATCCCCAGCCCCTTTAAATTAAAATTTTGAGATAGGTTCTCACTAAGTTGCTGCGGCTGGTCTTGAACTTGTGATTCTCCTGTCTCAGCCTCCCAAATTGCTGGAATTACAGATGTGAGCCACCACACCTAGCTTGAACACATATTTGTTTAATTAAGTGCTGTGTTTCAGAAATAATTATAATAAAAATGAAACTTTCTGATAGAATGACAATAAAAATGATACATGATTTGTTAGCTTCTCTTCTTTAAATGATACAAATAACTTTAAAGCATGTTGAAAACAGAATAACTTGAATTAAATTCATTTTGGAGATAGAAAATTTTAACTATATTGGTACTTATTATTCTGTAGGAAGATACCAAGTTTAATATGCATTTAAAAGTGAGTAAATCATCTGGAGGATGAAACTTCAGAGTGAAAGAAAAATGTTTTAATTTTTTTCATGCATCAGGAAAAATGCATTTAATAGATTATGAAAATCTATTAAATTACTTTATATTTTTTTTAAATGGTGGAAAGTGCTCACAGAGCCAAAAAATCAAACAAAACAAACAAACAAAAATCACCCTCAAAGCCCAGAATCCACATTAATAGGTCTCAGGCTGAAAATGGTTGGGGAATTCTGATAATGTGTCAACTATTTTTCAATGATCATATAAATAACCATAGATGATATTATTTCCAAAGATTATATGAAAATAATGGTTCATTACAAGGCCCATGTTGATGATGCAAAGAGAAAACAAACCCTTAAATGTTTGCGACAGCCAACTTGGCCCAAATGTATATACAC